AATTCTGGGTCAATCTGACCCGGGAGTTTTTAGAGTGCATGTAAGGACGGATGCGTTGCTCAACACCTTAGTGTGTGACTATAGACCCTTATGACTTTGGGGGAAAATTCCAACTTGTGCCAACTTAAATGTGCAAGAAAAGGTTTTGGTGAAAGGTTTATTCCACCGCTTGGCTGAATGAACAATCTTTTCGAAACGTATACATACACATTGCATGCATGATGTATGCACCCGGACCGGATTAACAAGACTTCCAGCGTTCGGCAGGCCCTGTAGACCCCAGGGGGCAATCATTTTTAATACAGCTCCTTAAGCAAAAAAAAAAGTGTGAAAAAAAAATGTTTAAAATAACAACAGTTACCAGCTCAGATTCTATGTGATGATTATGCTAACCAAAACACAGCTAAATACGATCCCAAAACAACATACATGTACATCACATGGAGTTTTGGCTGGTAATTACCTGATTTATCGAGCAAGTTTTTCTTGCGCTTAAGCAAATTTTGTGCTTAAGCAGCTCTGAAATTGGCCGACAGTGCTATAGGTGCTATAGTGCCAGCAACAGGTTCAAAGCATTTGGAGCCTCATAAATTTAACAAGCTGTTGAACCTTTTGAAAAATCGGAATTTTCACAGAGAGAAGCTAGTGCGTGGCATCTATCTCTCATTTTTCGTCGACCCCTGGGCGGATCCAGGGAGAGAGGGTCAACGTACTGTCCTACTCATTGCCAATTATATAGGTCCTTTTGGGTTTTTCTGCCTATAAGTCTAAAGGTTGGAAGGTCCTCTAGCAAGCATTAACCCTCGGGCTCTTTTTGTGTGTTCATTTAACGACAAAATGAAAGGGAAAAAAATAACTTCAACACATCAGCACCACATGATGAAGTTGAAACATCACGTGACAGGTATACATTTTGGAAGAATTCTGTCACAGTCCTAACTCAACCATATTGTTCTGACTGACGCTATCGTTCGAAGCCATATCGAATCAACAATTCGTACCATTTACAATGTTACACAGTCGGTCCTCGGTCTTCAGTGTAAAGCCTCGTGTTTGGTCCAACGCATGCACCTTGCACATGTTGCAACTTAAGTCGGAAAAGGTCACGTCGAATGACGTTGTGTGCATAATAGATATACATGTACAGTGTACATGTACTTATCAGTATGGAGGTAGGACGTGGCGAGTTACACACAGAAATTCTGCCTCTGACAGTATGCATTTTATGCGCCCCAAGCAATCTGAATGTTGAACTCTGTATGCATCATGACGCACACAACTACCTATACCTTGATCGCGGTTTTCACATCGGTACGCAGGCCAGTACATGTATTGTCTTATCACTGAGACACTCACTCATCTACTTCGGCCGTCTTCAGTCACTGGGTCGTGCCAAGAGCTTCCGAGAATCGACTGTCAATACACTAGCACTAACTTATAAGTTATAGACAGAGAGCAGCACTCCACACAACAGCCTCGCTCAACGGCCAGGGCGGTGAGCGAGAGGCCAGAATTAGCTTTCAAGTTGGTTTGACCTTAAATCTGTCTGTGAGCCTATTCAGTACGTGTCCTTCACCCAGCCTCGAATCGATTTACGGTAACCTCATGCATATGCAGGTAGGCTGAACAATCAAGGAAGAATTCCTTTTTTTTGTATTATGTACAATCACGCGTTGCAATGAGCCGTTTCTGTGGGACAACATCCCCCTCCCCAAAGCGTGGCCTTACGTGACTACCCGGCGCTTGCTCAGTTATACTTTGTTAAAATTCCCAACTGGCTCATCTGATCATAGGATCTACACTTCTATATGGTAAACATGTGGCGGATACAACAACCACTTTCGGGGGGGGGCAACCTTTTTTGAGGGAGCAAATTTTTTGTCATGTTAAGCTTTAATTAATGACCATCCTTAGGCTTGAGGCTACATTTCAGGGCTTTTTATACGCTTTGGGAAGAAAGAGAAATAGAACTAAACCAAGCAAATTATCGACGAGCAGCTGAACTGGTCTGAACATGTTGATAAACTTGTGATTACAGTTCCGGCAAAGCTTGGAATGTTCCGACGTGTCAAACCATGATACCTACCAATTCAGTCTCTCAAACCTCTCTTTAGTTTACCCCATTTTGATTACTGTTATCAAATCTGGTCTGGCCATTTTCAAAAACACACCGATAAACTTGTCAAATTGCAGAAGTATGCTGCTAGTACTGAGTTTGAGCAAAGGGCTTGACTCCTCATGGACCCGAACTATTTAATGAGTTATGGTGGCTCTCCTTGCACAAACCGTCGATTCCTTGACCTTAAAGCAGTGTTCATGTATAGGTGTGTAAATAATTTTGTTCCGAATAATCTCCTTGTTGATTATAATAATCTTGCTAATGACTGTCTGAGTGTGTGTGTTTTTTTTATTCTTTGTAAGTCGTGTTACTTGTTCTTACTTTTTATTGTATGTACATGTTCTTTATTTTTACTTGTGCGTTTTGTACCTTGTAGCAGGGCCCTATGGAAGACCACTGTGTAGTGAATAGGCTACCCTGGTTAAATATAATTGTAATAATGATAATTATAACTTCGTTTCTAGAACTTTCAAAACTTTATGATCATTTTTTTGGGGGGGTGGGGCATGGCCCCCTGGTTCTTCCCTTAGGTAAAACCATCGATGTTGACATTCAGTGACTGTGAAAATGTGCATCACACACTCTATACGACGAATTGTAACAATAATGTGTCAATATTTGTGCCTTTGTAATTTTTTGTTTACAATTGTTTCCACATGGATTATGCATACATACACCAGACATGCCAGCGATGCTTTACACTGAATGCAAATATTGTCGGGGATATTCTAATCAATATGATTAGAATATTTCTACGTACAAGGGTATAGAGGCTGGCGGCGGGACGTGGCAAAGAGTTCTCAGTGAGGGCCTATCTGAGGGGCAGTTGGGGAGGGGGGACATATTAGGTCTAGAGGAGGGATCAAGTCCCAGCATTTTCCTTTAGTTATATCTTTATTTTCTTTGTTTTCTATATTTTCAGAGGGCTTCAAGTTGCAGACACGTGAGCGGGGTGATGATATGGGGGGGGGGCTAAACCACTGGTTTTGGCTTACACAATGATTCCTTGCAAATTCAAGTGCCTTTCACAGTCAAATTTCTGCCTAGACTGTCCCTAAATTTCCCCGCGGGATGTTTTATTATCTTCATGGATGTTTATAGGTTCTCCTGGCTATTTTAAATTATTTGTATTTAATTTCGCAGAATTGAGTTTCCAGGTTAGTCCAGTTGTTTAATCGAGTTTAAGCCACAGACACACATTTTCGGCGAGGGCGTTCAATTTCGTCTTGTAAGTAAGCGGAACCGTGTTCTGAGTCATTGGGAAAACATTTAATTCGTCGTTGGCCAAACAGTTTAATAATAAGTTTGTTCATTTTCGTCACATTTCATTGCGACATACGGAAGAATTAGGCTATTCTTGCGTGCCTGGGGAAATGTTCAGGCAAGTGGCACTGGAATAGCAATTTGGTCTCTGAATGTGGAAATCTTGCTCATTTCCGTCGCTGGAGCTAATGGACTGAAGCTACCAGTGGCCCACAGCTGTAATCGTGACTTTGGTCGACTTCTCCTGGCCACTCCAGGATAGCTCCCAGGATAGCTCAATGACCACCCCTACAAAAAGGGGGAAAAAGAAGGTCTTAAAGTTGTCATATCTGTAAAATTTCAATGGTTTTCGAAATGAGTAGCACATGAGTTCCTAGTGCTCATGACACATTCGACGAGTAGAGTGAATGTACATCACACGCGAAGAACATGTATGTACGGCTTCCCACAAGGCTTAGCGACGTCATATTTCCTCTACAAGATTTATATTATAACGGGTTTTTATATATTCAGGGCTGCCGTCAAGCTGGAGTGTGTCACCTCACTCTCCAGTCCAGAGGGTGTCGTAGTGTTCCATGGTAATTCTCAACTTGGACGCCGACATCTTGGCTGAATATTGTGATCCTCAGATATGTGAAGCTGTCAGGGTCTTTGAAGTAGGCCTACGAGTCAAATTAACAGCACGCGTACATGAACTCGATGACTGGTACAATATTGCACAGAGTATCCATGGAAGCAATCCCATCAGACGTAGTAGCAGTATTTCTCGGCAAGCAGTTATTATTTTGAAACTGTGTTCAACCTTGGTAAGCAGCAATATTGTCTGTATAAGTTACAGGTACATCAGGTTGGCTGAGATTGTTGCAAAGGGCTGCCTCGAGAGAATAGAATGGATATTTCTAGCCTGCACTTGACGATACACTGCCCGATGTCTGGTCATCATTATTCGTGTAATAATGGTGGCGTTCATTGAAGGCGCAGCCTCGTGCATGTGATTATTATGGTGTTCCATATGTGCCATCTGGTCGCATTTTTCGACAGGCGTCGCATTTTTAGACCGGGCGTTTTGTTTTCACTTTATATGCTTAGGTGAAAGCGAAATTGTACAACGTTGCAAATATTTACCTACCAGCCTGCATTCCATGGATTATATGTTCAGTTGAGTTGACCTGATGCAGGTCTTGTTAATAAAAGTTAGGCTAACTTCATCGCAGATTATTCCCAATTACCATGTAATGAAATTTTCTTAGAATCACTTTTTGTGCACGTCTGCACTCTTCTTCAGTGTATGGAGACTGTATGGAATTTTATTTTGAGTAAGGCGAACTGAAAGGTGCACTTTTTAAACATTCAAAATTAACCAAGCATTTCTGGACAAGTGAGGGCGCTTTTGCCTTAGACACTGTTCAGTTTGCATGTTTTCATGCTTAAACTGTGAACTCCAAACTTATTATTTAAAAACATTTCTGAATAAAAGATTGCTCACTGGCTTATAGTGATATTCTTCCACGAGAATAAATTGTCAAAGGAAATGAAATCTTGATAGCGGTGTTTCAAAAGTCTAGAAATTCTTTGTGTATAACCAGTGCAACACTGAGATTCAGTACCTTGGATGACATCATAGTTTGCTCATGAATAGGCAAATGCCATTAGCATAAAAACCGGAAAAGCTCCAAAATATGGGTAACAAGAGTAAAACAATTATTAAAAATTGTGTTAATTGAAAACGAAAGTTGCGATTTCAAGGATTTTAGTAAATTTAAGTAAAATATTTCTAATGGTCCCTTTCAGTTTATTTCTTTATGAACTGTAAAATAATTATTAGAGTATTTTGGTGAGTTTTTGTTTTAGCTCTCACTGAAAGATTATCATCAAATAGAATCTCATAACTGTTCACCTGCGCACGAGAACACCGAAATGCACTAGAGGTCTTCATGTATCTTAGATTTTTGGAGTGAGAAGTCATTTTGGAAAAAAAACTATTTCTCTTTCAGGTCAGCTAATTTTGCTGATTAATTAGTATGCTAACAAATATTTTATTCTTTTTCAGAAGTATACGAACGAAAAAATTGCGGATTCTAAATTATTGCAAGATATTTTTTCCTATTCGAAAATTTTATCGGGGTCAACATTCAGGCTCTATATAATAGCCGTGAGAATATTTTCCGGGCAGTGTAATTTTTTTCCTTAGGAAGGTTCGAGGTAATTATCGTATACGGGCGTGGTTAACTGCAAGCTCGATAAGGTTAGCGGACACTTAATTAGAAACTTAAAGGTTTCGTAAATACGTAACCATTCCAAAAACATAATACATTCAATGTTTACCCTATTAATTCTGACCCAAGAATGAACAAAAGAACGAACCCTCCCCATGAAAAGTCATCCCCCCTTGCATTTCGGAAACGGAAAAAAAATCGAACCCACGTTCCTAGTCCTGGGGATGCCATTATTGATTAGGCTTTACACAAATTGCTAATCCAACTCAGCTACCAGTCACCCCCCCTTTAGCATAAAGCCCCCTGCTCGCCTCCCATGCTCAGAATTCTGGCTACGCCGCTGCACCAGGCCATTCCAATGAGCCTTTTCAATTAATTCTGTCCCTGTATAAAATGTATACATGCATCCCTATTTAACCCTCTTTTCGTTTTAATTTTTAGAATGTTTTTGCCCATCAAGGATTTATTACTGTTTTAGCGTAATGGCAGTATAGCCATTGAGCAAAGCGTTCTTGCAGATATTTTCAGTGGAAAAGTTTTGAACAGGAAGCCCCTGTATAATATAAACTGTCGTTTTCCTGCAATGACACCATAGCAACAGCGCCCTCATTTGTCAGGAAAAGCTGGAAAAAATTAACATTTTAAAAAGACAAAATTACGGTAATATACCCTACACATTTGCACAGGATATGAATTTTCGAACTTAAGTTCATGCTAAGTGGCAGAAGCAAGGGCCTGGATTTAATCAGGCAAAACTCCAGTTTGGTTCAGTGGAATGAGTAGGAGCAAATTTTCAAGCGGTCTTTTGTGGAGTCAAGTTTTCTGCAGAGGCTCACTTTAATACGAGGACATTCGATCATTTTATTTTCCCCCTACAAATATCCATAAGTTTGGGTGCACGCAGGGCACTCTGGGATGGCAGGTAGAGATATAGAGGCTTTGCGTTGTAGCCATCTTGCAGGGCAGTTCTTTTGTTCCACGGGAAACCTCCTTGGAGCATACCCTGTGGAACAAACGCATCGGCCTGCAAGATGGCAGCCATGCAAACCCTCAATAGTGCGTCCATTTCCGCTCTATATTCCTTGGCAAAACATGGCCATAGTAAATTCAATTCAGACGACTCCCTCCCTACTCTGTATGCCAACTGATCCGATGCCTCCTTGAACGGTTAAATTTCCTTTGCATGCCAATCTTAAAGCAACAAAAAGGCCCATCAGTTCTTTAATTAGCATTATTTCCAATTTTTGTTTTGCTTTTTCGAAGAGCATTTTGGTTTTTAGATCAATGCCAATTTCCAGAGAGTTCATGGGAAAAACTGGGATGTCATATAACCAAGAAGAAAACCTCAAAAAACTACACATGTAGCAGGAGAGCAGACGGTAACTGCAAGCTTTATTGGAAACAAATTCGCAGATGTGGTGCACCCACACTGTTGACATACATGTACACGTGTTGATTGCACGCTTTACATTGCGGTACACTCCATGCATGAACAGCTGGTCCAAAATCTGAAGCTAGCGGGCGCCGTATACACGACAGAGTTGACTAGGCCAAGGTTCCCGTTTGAGAAGGTGGGGCAAGGGCATGGAACATTTGCCACCTTCGCCCTACTTCTCAACTCTTTCTCGCCACTTTTTGGGCACGAGCTACTCCCAGCAGAAAAAAAAAAATGTTGTGCCCACCATTATGGGAAAGGTGCTGGCGGCTCCTCACCTTTGCCGAGGTCAAGAGAGTAAAATGTTAGAATGTGGTTTTTCGATGAGGTATGCATATTTTATAATCTTATCAGTAGACCAGCCATGATCATGCGCGCCCCCAAAACGGTCGTAGACTTGTAACAGTCGTTTTAGAGGACAGCCCTTGTCACCTCTACTATCTAACCGTGGGAACAAAGATCCTCAGGAGGTTATTTTCGGAGTAAAGGTAGACGTTGCTTGTGCCACTAACCTGGCTGTAGAGTGAAACGGTGCAGGTGCTCCAGGGTTAATTAAGGACCCGATATTACACTTTTTAAGCAGTTGCAGAGTCACTTGGCTGTCTGTGCATAGTACAATCCACAGTTGAAAGATCATGGGACTCCAATTGTGTGAAGGAGACAGGACGTTTATTGTCATCTATAAACTTTACATAATCAAAATATTCAATCGATAAACCTTACGTTTGTTTGTTTGTAAAGTGGCCCCTTTTGATAATTTTTTATTTAATGTAAAACACAAAATTGCTAAAAATTGTTTGCTGAAGTTGCTAGTTGACACTGTGACCTGAAATGTACAAATACTTTAGAATGTCTGACCTTTCGATCTGAGCAGAGACTTTCTATACTGCAAAATGGCTAATTATGCCTTTGAGGAAGACTGCTAGAGTCAAAACGCCTTAACATTTCATATTTTTATTGTAAAGTTGAAATTTACTTATTCCACAAAACCATTCTGTTGATTATCAGTGTTCTTTATCGCCAGTGTGGATTCCCGTTCAACCATGCTGGGTTTGAAAGCCGCAACACTTCAACTGCATGCAGTGTGCTCTGTGGGTTTCAGCATTCTGCTGCTTTCAATTTTGAGGGCTTCTGTAGTCCTGCCGAGGATGATTATAATTCCAGAGTGCAATTGTGGCACGTGGCACGTGGAAGAGCAACAGACTAGAACAAGTTCAATATTCATAGCCTGGTGAGCAAACAAGCCGTCTGGCCAAAGAATAATGTTTTGTCATTCACTTTTGTGCAGGTATCGTAGAGCAACTGTACAACACATGAACATTGAAACACGCCAGTGTACACGTACATCGCTGTTTTGCTGAGACCAGACTTGGCACTTTCCAGTTGTCGGACTGACTTTTTGCTTGAGGTTTTCAAAATGCCAGATCCACGATCCAATTACCAGCGTGCGGCTCGTGTGGCCGCGGCTACAGCGCTTGGTTTACCCACTGCAGGGTTGGCTTACCTTCGCTTGAAGTACGGGCCAACCCTAGCTGACGATGTCGTCAAAATCTACAAAGGCTACAAAGTGATGAAACGTGTACAACATGCACAGGAAAACAACTTCTTCATTGTGGATTTCTTTGAGCTGCACGTGAAGGAGACACCAGACAGGCCGTTTCTGCTTTACGGTGATGACACGTACACGTACGGAGATATGGACGGGGAAGCAAACAAGCTAGCTCGATTTGTGATGAGGCATGGAGCCCTCAGTTGTAAGGACTCAGCAGCAATCCTAATGCTAAATGAGCCTGGCTTCATCGTCAGCTGGTTGGCCTTCAGCAAATTGGGAGTACAGACGGCTTTTCTGAACTACAACCTCAAAGGACGGGCCTTACTACACTGCATGAAGGCATGTAAGATCAAAGCTATCATCTGCGGGAAAGGTAATTGAGAAATGAGCAAAATGAGCGATAGGTCACAGTGCATGTAACAATTTATTTGATAAAGCATGGAATATTTAAAGTGTAACTGCAATGAATTTTTCTGAGACACAAATTTTTCTGCAAGTTTATCCTCTGTCAATTTATGAAAAAATTTACATCCCTATGGCTTAAAATGCATTGAACAGTGGGCTTTAAAAATTAGTTTAAAATATTCATGCTTTCTTGGACAACATAATTGAGGCATTGCTGTGATGTTACCCGAGGTTTAGCTTATTGGTTTTTCTATTGGAATTGGGAACGCAGAATTTACTCACTGAAACCGACTTTGAGAAAGAAATGCCTGATGGCTCATTGCTGTATAATTATACACTAGTAACTAACCAAAGAATAGCCTAGGCCTGCAAATGTGAGAAAAATACAGGAAATATTTTGTGCACAAATCCAGTGTAACATTGAGGTTTCCTTCCTTAGATGACGTCACAGATTTGCTCCTGAATATAGGAATTTTAATGACGTAAATACAAAAACGCAGCAAATATATTAGTAAAAAATAGTGAAGAATCAATCGAAAATGAGGTTAACTAATTCCCAAAGATTGTTTTGTAGCTTGTTATTAAAGAAATCTCAATGTAGCTTCTTTTACACCTTGCACATGCTGTAAATGATATGCATGCAGCGGTCACATGATCAAATGGCCCAATCAACTTTTCTGATAATGCTTCGAACCAACAAGGATCGTTTTTTAACTGCACGAAAGAAATACTTATTTTTTTTACAGACACCTGGCTCTTGAAGGAACTGGAGACCATCATGCCAGAAATTCAAGACCTTGGAATCAAGGTGTGGGTTCTGGGAAAGGTCACCGAGCGCCCCCTGCCGTCGGGAATGACACTGGTCAACACGTGGAATGAGCGCAGCGATCCAATCCCTAAGAGCACTCGTGCAGGAATCAGCATCAGGGACCCGTCTGTGTATATATTCACCTCTGGAACAACAGGTAGGGTACAGCTGACTTTAAGGCATATTTGACTATAATATCTCGTTGATCTGTTTTTAAGTTAAAATTTTACCAAAAGACTTCCATGAAGTATAACTTCGTAATGGTTCGTCTGTAGACTACGAGACCACCGAATGGCGCAGGTCTTCGTGTATGTTAGATTTTGGAAGTGAGAGGTGAAATTTTGGCAGGATTTTTCTCTTTCAGGTCTGGTAATTCTTCAGTTTCTATAAATTAATATGATAATAAATGTTATAAAGGCTTTCCTAAGAGACGATCATTTTTTCTTAGAGAAGTAAACGAACTTTACAGAAATCCAAATTCTAAAATTCTGCGCGTTATTTTTCCTATTCAAGGGTTCTAGAAGTGGGCCGTCAGGGTCAACTTTCAGGCTCTTTTGACAACTTTATGAAAACGAACTCGCTTGTATTATGCAAAGCGATAATGTACATGAACAATATAGCAATCCTTAACACAACCGCTTCCTCATAATAAGACACTAAACGGGCCTCCATAGAAGGTACCCCACCTCATTGCAAGTTACAGCTAAAGAGTCTCTTAATGGGATTTGTTGATATCTTACCGTTACCTGTGTGATGGACAAGAGGTAGTATTCGCTGCGACCGTAACCCATGCATTGGATATTTTCAAAGTGTTCATCCATCGTTGCTAGGAGACAAAATCCGTCATTCGCCACGACGTGAGTATTCCGTTTAAATGTTCGTTATCCCTTGATTTTGTTTGTCACATCTGTCCTGTGGCAAGGTTACATTGACAAATTTTAAGTGCAATGATTTTGTGTATTTCCTACTGTTAATTATGCGGTTTGCTCAGTCCTGAAAATATATCTCTATTCACAAAAGAACAAATTGGCTCGTAACTAATGGGCTTCATACTGGACCAAGAGAGGGCGCAAGTTTTCAACCAACGGAGATCGCAGGCTCCCTTGGTAGTAACTACATCGCTGGTGAACGAATAACTGTGATTCGCAAGCAATGCAGTCGCATTGTTGCCAACAACATGAACACTTCCGACCAACGCGACTTTTTTTCAGCCGATAAGAGTGTGCTCCTGCTCAGGGCGGAAAGCTGTCTGCTGAGTTAGATTCCACCCATCCAGGCGGCTATAGGAGCAATGATGGTAGAGGCGTTGTATGACTTACGCTCTCTAACATTCTTATTATCCTTCAAAGTGTTGACAGGATTGTCCCCATCGGGTAGTCCATGAGCTGCGAATATATCGTCAAACTGGGACTTTGATCGTCAATTTTACAATGATCTAAACCTTTTAAGACCAATAACTGACGATTTGATTAATTCGTTATTGTTTTCACATGCAGGTTTCCCGAAGGCAGCCAAGGTGTCGCACTATCGGTCGTGTGCTGCTAGTTTTATCATGTCATCAATGGGCCATTTAGAGGGTTCGGATATATTTTATGTCACACTGCCGTTGTATCACATCTTTGGGTTTAGCATGGGCCTTTTGACTAGCATAGTAACAGGTGAGACAATTGAACGGTATCCTTGAGAAATGCACTTCATGTTTCTGTAAATGTTAAAAAATATGTTCTTATAACCTGATGATAGAACAATACATGAGTATTTACAAGCAGATGTTACAATTTTGATCGATACAGGAGAGTGATATGGTCTTTTGATCTAATAATAATGATAAATAATAAAGATTTATTCATATTGCGAAAATTCCACATCAGTTCAAATGCGCAGTACAACTATACAAAATACACAATATCATAAAAATGTAACTAGACTTTATACATGTACAATTAGAATTGATGATTTCGAAATAGTTTCGATCATTCCGCATTGTGCCTTGAGTTTACAACATCAAGCATTTAAACTTGTTAAACTGACGTTATGTACAGGATCGATCGTGCAGGAAAGACTTCAGAGGATCACTTCACAGATTCAGTCGTAGTTTGCAGCAACACACACCATTTTTGGTCTTCACCAAATTCTGAGCCAGGAGCACACGGGGCAAGAGAGTCGATTTTAGCGCTCTTGCCCTGTAACCTGTGCCGAAACATGCCATGACACGAGACATTCTTTTAACTACAAGCATGGACGCATTTTGAGAGCGTTGTATCTTCTGGTATTTCTACAGGATGCACTGTTGCGCTTAGCACGTTCTCTCCCAAGATATTTTGGGACGAGGTTCGCAAGTACCAAGCCAATGTCATTTTATACATCGGGGAGATCTGTCGCTATCTTCTAGCACAACCACCGGTAAGGATAATGGAGACTCGGCACATGCTGGGATGACTGGAAAAAGTATAGGCATTGAGATGCTTTGACCTTAGATATCAAGAGCTGTCATGTTACGACTCACTTGTGACTCTTCGTCGTCACTGGCGCTTCAAAATATTTGGAATGATAGATCGGTTAATCATGACCTGAGCTTCGTGGAAAGTGACAACAGTTGCACTAGTTTGAAAAATAACGATGGGTTTGAGTACATGTACTCTGATTTCAGTAAAAAGGTAAAAAGTATTTGCATGTGAGCCTGCTTTTTTAGGAATAAATTATAATGTGAGACAATTATTTGCACATTCTCCTTTATGGCCTTTTGGGGGTTTGTATCTAAATCCACAACAGTTGGCTAGGAATTTGCCTTTATTTACCCTCAATAAGAAAAAAGAATTTGGAAATTTCACCCCACCTTTGTCTCACGAGTTTATTGTTTTTCTCCCGGCCTACAATGAACAATGATAATTTATTTCTAATCTAATTCTGATTAGCAGAAGCAAAGCACAACCGTGAAAAGGAGCCTTCCTCAACATGTAATTCCTTAATTTGGGGAATTAGTATTTTGCAAGGGTTTATTTTACCGAGGTGAAAATTTCCTTCCTTTTGTTACCATATATTCTAATACTAGTAGTATTTTGTTTAATATGCAGTGTCCTAACGATGGTGAACTAAAGATTAAATGCGCCATTGGCCTTGGATTACGACCAGACGTTTGGGAGGACTTTCAGAAACGTTTCAACGTCGGTCAGATTTATGAGCAGTACGGAGCTACGGAAAGTCCCTTTATGATTGTCAACACGGAGGATAAAGTCGGCAGTGTGGGCCGATTTGGAGGTCTCATGAAGGTAGGCCCTACTTAGTTTCATTTTTTTGTCAAGACTTTTCACCAAACAAAAGAGTTTCGTTGTGTCCTTGCAATGTGCGCTCTGTCACTTCAATTGCATCTACACTATAAAGCGTTGGTGCTTTAGAACGACTTCCTGGTCACACTTTATGAACGCGTTGTGGTTTCAATAATCCAAAACGGAATACTTTGCAATGTTTATTTCTTACAAAGACGAGACTTGTTGAAGTGTTAATACATTTTGACCTACAGACACATTTGGGTGAAGGCCCAAAACCACGTTTATTGGGCGATAACACTTTGTTAACGCCGAACACGTTTATTTCCAAAACGTTGTCAAATTTTAAACGGTTACATGTTTGCAATTCGCAAAAACGTGTTCATAATGGGCGTTGGTTTTTGCAGTGTAAAGTATTAGTTTTATGCCAACGGGTGTTTTCTCAAACTACTTGACATCGATAGTGGAAATTGTCATGAGGGATGACCCCACGAAGGAACTTCCCGAGCAAAGTGTTATAATATTGCTGTTTTCCATTGGATTCTCTGTGTGAATGTTCAGGCCGTACTTAACATCATCGAGATTGTCAAGTGCGACATCGAGACGGCTGAGCCTATCCGTGATGCCAACGGGAAGTGTATCATAGCTGAGCCAGGTCAGTCGGTGGCAGACTTCGTTTGCCCGGGGAGGCAGAAATGACTGCATTTCTAAGGTGACCAAGACATGTTGAGAACTTTTGTGACCAATGGCAGTGCGGTATAAAGGTCAGGTGTCAGTTGGCCCTACTTTAGAGTTATAGTCCCGGTAAGTTCTGGGTTTTCTCAAGCAGCTGGTAAAACTAATTTGCCAGCTTTCTTAAGTCAGAGTTTAAAGTTAACTGGGGTAAGTTCAATATTGACTTAATAGTATTGGTGATTGTCGATTGCTTACAATCTGAGGACAAAAATATGGGGTCTCTTGATTTGGGTTTGACACTGAATGCTTATAATGGATCCAGAGACATTTTTGGCCCAACGTTTGGTATCAGGTGAATCGCTGAACTGTTGGCCTAGCAGATCTACTCATCCGCGTTGATTCTCTCCTGATATATGAGCAAACTTGACTCATTTTACGCAATGGTTGTAGAAAATGTTATTTTGTACTTTTTCAACCAGCGTTTTGATGTTTTTGTCCAACAGTTAAGTGATTCACTTGGTTCTCGGCATTGGGCAAAGAACGTAGAAAATAGTTCTCGCGAGCGGAGCTTAATTTCAGTCGCTCCATGACAAAGAAAGAGACGCCTTTCAACGTCTCAATTTACTTCTTATACCAGGTGAGACAGGTCTCTTCGTAGTCAAGGTGGATCAGCGGATCCATTTTGACGGCTACATGGCCGACAAGAAAACGAACGAGAAGAAACTGGTCCGGAATGTCAAGAAGGTGGGAGACGTGTACTACAACAGCGGCGATCTGATGATGGTTGACAAGGAGGGTTATTTGTATTTCAAGGACAGACTCGGCGACACCTTTAGGTAAGAGCTCTCATATCTAGCGGGAGGAGGGATCCCTAGGGAGACGCTCATTTCTTGTACTTCCTCTTTAGTAGACTTTTACTCTGGGTGCTCACTTTTCCTGTGTGTGTGAAAGAGTTAAGATGCCAAAATGTTGAAGTAAGCATTATTTTAGGTATGTATGTACACTACGTGGTCACTAGTCATTACATAAGTTTCTCTTATCCGAACAATTTGTAATCAGATGTATTGTCATTTAGTTTAAACAATAGATCCCTTCACTAATAAATTCACAATTATGCACTTCCATTAGAAACTAATAGCAAACACGATTTAATGGGATTTTCCTGGGAAAAAACTGAACAAAGCCAGAAAACCTGAGAGAAAATGATCATTGAAGTCGTACCTCTGTACATGTTCAATGGCCCGCTCACACTTCTTGTCGCCAAGGCCATTTGCGCGCATGCGGGCATGATTGTGAATTTATTAGTGTAAAGTCTTTTAAATATGCGAACGCCCTATTATTTTTAAAATGAAAATAAATTAATATTCATCGAGTAGGCTAGAAGTTTCACATACCTATATTTTCTACATGAAATGCTTGTGGATTTTTACCCGACAAACCTTTGTCATCATGCCTAACTCAACGCAACCGAACCTTTAGCTATGTTTTAACATTTTGATAGATGTGTAACTTTTGGGGTTTTTTTGGTTTTGTCACATATATGTGTTTTCCAGATGGAAAGGGGAGAACGTTTCAACTACTGAGGTCGCCGAAATCATGGGTATATTTCCCGCCATTATGGAGAGCAATGTGTATGGCGTCGTTGTTCCAGGTAATATGCAAATAATGGACATCATGAAAACGTTTTACCTGAACGGAAGAAGGTACTTAAATTCGATATTTTGAGCTTCAAAGCTTTGTGAGCTTCGCTATTAAAAGGACTTCGGTGAAATTTCAGTTTCCAGAGCCACATGAATTAAAAAGCCGGATGGACATTGTAGTTTCGTAAAATGGATAATTACCCTAGGTCAATCGGTAGATCGAAACGGAACATAAAATTCTTGACTTTTTGATCAATATACCAGGGTTTCTGTAACAACGCGATTTATTCATTCAAGAAGAGCAAACTAAACGAGAGACCAAATGAGACGTTTTGCATGCGACGTTATACTTTCTGTTACAGTTTCCATTAAGCTTGCCAAGTATCGCGGTAGAAAAATTGCAGGAAATATGCCAGGCCACAAGCTGGAATGCCATTGCCGTTGAGTTCGAGTCCCAAAGGTTGTAAATCTGCTTTAAAAAACGCAACTCCCAAACATTTGAGCTCGGCAGATTTGTCGTTTATTTCTTAGGAACGTGGGAATTAATTTCGTGTTTTTCTATTAAAGAATTCGAGCCTTCTCAGTTTCTAATCAGAGTTGGTTTTTTTTTACCTATTTAGGGAAGGAGGGTAAGGCAGGTATGGCAGCCGTAAGGCTTAAAAAAGACGTCGAATTCGATCCCAAGAGCTTGTATGATCACGTCACCAAGGCTCTGCCCCTCTACGCATGCCCCAAATTCCTCCGTATCACCGAGGAGATCTTGACGACAACGACCTTTAAGCACCAAAAGTCCAACCTGGCCAAAGAGGGATTTGATGTGAACATCATCTCCGACCCTCTGTACTTTCTGGACGTGGAAAAGAAGACCTACGTGCCTTTGGATAAGGACGTCATGCGACGGATTGTGATTGGCCAGGCCAGACTTTAGGGAGCTGGGCTTTGGCTACAGTACAATCTAGGGACGACCGCCTAGCAACGGCATCCATCTATCGTGATTTCCATTGAAACTTTCATGTTCTCAGATGATAGAACCATGCCAACTATATATCGATTCCATTTAGTGAAACGGACTGGCTGCATGCATAATATTGAGGGTAGTGACCATCACAAGACCATCACAAGACCAGTCACAAGACCAGTCACAAGTAACAGAGTAAACAATGACGAAGGAATGCTTTTAATTTTGTAGCAGTTCATTTGAATATAGCTTGTGACTTGAATTCAGACTGAAGGTCTTGTGTCGGTCTTGTGCTGGTTTTGTGTGGTCTTATAATTGATCTCGACTACAACACTGATTGTTTGCGCTCTGTAACACTGAAAATCAGAGCTTTGCATAGAGAGAGTTGCGACATGACACTTGTTGGCAATAAACTGGCAGGTGTATGCGCCAATGCACTTGGATGGTTAGCATACAGTAGCCGCACGCTCTGAAGTACACATACACAGTACAGAAGCCATTTTGTTTTCAAACCCTGAAACCGGCCCAACTCTTCTCAACTCAACTCTACTGGAAACAAATTAAGTCGGCCTACTGGGCGGATTTCGTTGGTTTTTGTACGCTAGTGAATCATTCACAGATATGTTTTTACTTTTGGATGGGTGTCAAAACCATGCTGAGACTACCATGCGAATATATTCATTGGAGTAAGTATAAATCTCTGTATTTATAGAAGTCATATACTCGCTTTTTACAGCCAAAATGATCACCCCAACCCAATTTAACCCAACAGTTTTCAAGTGATTGTGATTTATCACACAGCTTACCATTGTGTAATCTTCGTCGATTTTTTTCTGTAAGAACTCACCCAAAGACCTGCAAATAGTTATCAGAACGTTTAGACGCGATACTTACTAGATATTGTAATGTTAGGGTTCAAGTCGTTCGCTTGTGCACTATTTGCCGTTTTTAATAACGCTCGTAAAATAGAAACAATTCTACATTTTATCTCAAAGATTTCAAATGTAGCTCCATGACATGTTGACAATGGTGATTCGAAAACTAAAGTGCCTGATCAAACCTTCACCGATTATTGTACAAATATTACGTCTGATTAGTAATAAGTCTTTAAGTTTTCGTAAAAAGCACCATAAATAGTGCATCTTTTAGCTTTGCTATAAAGTAGTTGTTCCTCGAAGAGATTCTTTTTAAGAGGAAGAAACCTCAGCATTTTTCTTAAATAAATCATCTTTAGCGAAGTTTAAGGCATTGTAGCTTTTGAAGTGGTTGAATTGTTCGGAGCAATAAAACTGAAATGATGTCAAACAAAATGATTTCGTTTGATGTTTTCTGGATCAGAGCAAACTGATTTCCAATAGAATGTCTAGTCTCCGTCAAGCAGATCAACCAGTGAACCAGTCTAATACTTTTCCCATCCCTTGGCCCCATCTCTGTATTATGAGGATTCTTTTGTGTTGAGAAAAGAGGTGCCTAAATTATTGTGTAAGTTGTTAACAGTTATCTATATTACTGTCTTTGTCACAAAATAGCAATGGCTTGAATTCGCACTGAGGTTATTAAACGGTTATTTGGATATTACATTGTTTGAGTGTATGATGACAACTATCCCACAAGTTCTGACACCAAAAGGCCAGGTGTGTTTAATGTGCATGTGTTGAACACGTTTAATAAAAACGCTATCCCGTGGATCCCATGGATAGATACATCAGGTGAGTTTCCAAAGGTGTTGCCTTTTTCGACCAACCAGGAGCCTCTCAAGTGTTTACTCTTCTCTACACTAAACATGAGTTACAAAAAAGATCTGTTTGCACAGCATGTAACGTTTTCAAGACCAGTATCCAGCATTTTGTATCCATTTGTAAGTAAAACAAGGTCTGATTTGTTTCCCGTCAGTACCGGTACTGGCTGACATTTCCTTAGTGACCGGAGGTTTTCAATAAATGAATTAAATCGTCCGAGCATCATTTTGACTCCGGTTCTTCCACAGTCTTGACTGCCCTGTTAGCATCTGACCGTGTAGTTCATGCAAAAACTTTATTCCAAGCCAGAAAATAAAGAAAACCGAGTCTATTTTACCTGAAGGAAATCGGGCCACCGTTCCATCGATCCAAAAATGGTCACTGCTCAAGAGCGACACACTGGTTTGATCAATAAGCAGATCTGCACTTTTGAAGTAACGCATCCTTTTTGTCAAGGTCATAAGCACTTTGTCAATTTTTCTTCTTTCTCCACCCTCCTCAATGTTGACAGGACCCCCCTTTCGGCTAAAATATACAAAGTGTGCCCGTTACACTACGAGCGCTGGATCAAGGCTATTTCATTTGTATGTAAACTCCATATTGCAAGGTCCTTAATAATTTCAAGAACATAAAAGGGCCAAGTTAATTTGTACCTCAACACAGACGAGGGCCTTTCTCGGCTCAGCTATCAAATGCTCGATTTTTTTTAAGCTAAGCATTCACTGACAACCACTTTCAACTCATCCAGTTCAGCATTTGATTTTCCTACGGTCATTTGAAGTCCAACGCCACTTGACTGCTGGGCGTGGTGCCTCAACTAAGCGTCATTGTATAGAGGTGTGCATTTTGGCCGATTTATTACAGGAAAAAATAGGCGGTGTGTGAGGCGAGCATGTCCTATATTCACGAAATTGATTGTCAAAATGACGGCAGTAAAGCTCCCGAAAATCCGGAAGGCTCGGCGTAAGGAAAAAGTGCAATGCGGCGATATCGAAAAAAAGGAAGAAAGATTGTTTAAAAGGGTGGTTCCGCCCCTGGCTTTCTAGTGTTAGAAACGTAATAATGGAGAATGTCCGGCAAAGATGATTTCTTCCACTAGGAAGACGAAAAAATGAGCATCTGGTTTAGATCTGCCCACCTGTTGATCATGACTCATGCATGCATAAATGGAGTTGGACAGAACAACTGTAAAGTTCTGTTACCTAAGTACAAAACATAACCTGATGAAATTAGATATAGACCCAGCGCGTGTGGACCTCCGGGCGTAATTTGTTTCAATTTCAACTGTGTAGCGAAATCTAAGCCTATGAGAACAACAGAAGTGTTGCGTACAAGCTTGTGAAGTACTTTTACTTCAGAGTTGAATGAGTCAGTGCCCAATTCCTCGATAATGTACGTACTGGGACTAAGGTCTGATCCAGACCTTAACTGGGGTGTGGGAGGGAAAAACCAAATAGGCCTTAAAATAAACTTTAAAAAAAAATCCTGAATAAAATGGCTAAATCTTCACTCTGAATGATTTTTAAAAGCCCTCATAGGGGGAGGGACCATGTCCCCCGTTGCCCTCCCTGGATCCGCCCTTGACTGGGACAGACCAGTATTTAATATTCAGCTACACAGAGAATACAATCTGTGATATTTCCAATTTGTGTTAATTTTATGTGTAACTAGTGGCTATAATTTAGTCCAAAACACGACGAGTCCTATGAGTTGGCGAGCACCCGGGGTAATAGCTGCAACCTAGCGGAAATTCCGGTCGCAACCGCCGGATTCCCGCGCCTTAAGTAAGGCCCGACATTGTTTCAGGGCCTAATATCCGAGGGAGCTTAGAAAAGCATGCACGGAACACACACTGGACACATCTTGATCGGAACTGGACAGACAGGCCAACCAACCCGCTTGCTTTGTCAACGAAGCGAGGTGACAGCTTGCATGGACACGGTGGCGATATTCATCCGGAACGAACCAAGTTTCGTCGTCTTGGCTGGCTTTCAACAAAAGGGGTCTGAGGATCGCACTGTCAAACATCAGGATCACAAGCGACGCACTCTTTTATTGCTTTAAATCCTGCAATGCAATGATATACCCAAATTGTGGATTGAAAGCCTCAAACTGCAATGCACAGGCATTCACATCTTGTCAAACGTTTAAACGTATAATACTTAAAAACCAACCTAGGACCAACGGAGGGCCAATGGTATTAGACTGGTATACTGGTCGACCTGTTTGAGAGTAGACTTCTCTTCAAGAATCAAGTACTTACAAAAACTTACGAGTTATATTGTTTTAATAGTGCCCATAAAGGAACTTGACAATGGAATTAAATATGTCTACTTTAGTTTGTGCTCTTGACGTGTTTTGTACAGACTAAAACTTATTATTAATCTGACGAAAACTGACGAAGGTTAAGTCAGGGCAATTCAGTTGTTGTCATTCAACCATTACTAAATTAGCTTTATGTAAATAAGTTGAATTTTAATGTTTGAGTAACATTTGAATTGGGTGGTGTATACGTTATACATCTGTATGCGTTATTAAAACTTCATGTAAAATAGTGCAGAATTCAATGACTCGAAGATTATATTACAATCAGCAAATTCTGAGTCAAATTTGCTGGCCCTCCCGTGCATTCAAATAGAATGGATTCGTCCTGTGGATGATTAGATAATGGAGAAATTATGTGATATATCACGCTCGCTTGAATACGGTGCTGTCGGTTATAGGTTCGTGCGAAACATCTTGATCATATCTGACTACATAAAGCGACTGTGGGCGTGGCTGCTCGCAGGGTTTTAAATTAAACACAGAGACTTGTCATTTAATAATAATATTCACTGCATTATTTCTGTAATTAAGTTTCACCACGGTACTTATTGTTTTTTGTGCAATAAAAGATGATATTTTACATTAAGTAATTGCAGCGTGGTCTCGACACCAATCAAGATCAGTGAAGGATTAACAGGTGCGCGCGGACCAGTGAATTCCACCTGGTAGGCCGACTTCATTTAGAGCTGTTTATAGAGAGAGAGTTGTGACATGGGTGTCTCAATTGTTGGAACCAATATGGTGGATTATTCATTAGTGCACATGGAAATGAGCACACAATAGCTGCATGCTGTACAGCGCACATAAAGAACGCCATTTAGGTTCCAAAGTCTTACATTGGCAGTACTCCGGTGCTCAGTGAAACAGCGCACTCTCCATGACATTCATGCCGCCAGTAACACTACAGTTGGCATGACCAATATTTGTCAGCGTGAAAGTTTAAATGGAGATTGCAATGATGGATGCTAGGTCATCCCTCGGTTGTACTGTAGCCAAAGCCCAGCTCCCTAAAGTCTGGCCTGGCCGATCACAATCCGTCGCATGACGTCCTTATCCAAAGGCACATAGGTCTTCTTCTCTACGTCCAGAAAGTACAGAGGGTCGGAGATGATGTTCACGTCAAACCCCTCTTTGGCCAAGTCGATCTTTTTGTGCTTAAAGGTCGATGTCGTCAAGATCTCCTCGGTGATACGGAGGAATTTGGGGCATGCGTAGAGGGGCAGAGCCTTGGTGACGTAGTCATACAAGCTCTTGGGGTCGAATTCGACGTCTTTGTTGAGCTTCAAAGCTGCCATACCTGCCCTACCCTCCTGCCCTAAAAAAGTTAAGGAAAGATACGACTCTTTGAAAAAGAAATTGTGATGGCTAGTTTTCTCAGAAAAAAAATCAAGAAACCTTTTTAAGAAGAAAACACGAAGTCAATTCGAACGAAAACAGTTCTAGGAACTTATTAAATCCCGACAAAATCAGATTTGCAACCTTTGGGATTCAAACTCAACGGCAATGGCATTCCAGCTTGTGGCCTGGCATATTTCCTACAATTGTTCAACCGCGATACCTGGCTAGCTTAACGGAAACTGTAACAGAAAGCATAACGTCGCATGCAAAATGTCTCGTTTGGTCTTCTTTAGCGCCTTGCTCTTCGTGAATGAATAAATCACATTGCTACGAAACCGTGGTATATTGGTAAAAAAAACTAGTGTGCTTAGATTTCGTGGGATTCATTGATCTACCTGATAATTTAACCATTCAATGAAGTACAGCGTTGACCGGGCTTTTTAATTCATCTCTATCAGACAACTGGAATTTCACTTTCTAATCTTCTCAGCAAAGCTAACAAAGCTTTCAAGCTCAAAACGTCGCGTTTTGGTTCCTTTTTAACAACTCAGTTAAGACTCGTTCATAATATTTAACTTTTTTTCTGACCAACTGTTAACATGACGAACTTCGGGCTTCGCTATTTGCTATTACCTGGGACAACGACGCCATACACATTGCTTTCAATAACGGCGGGAAATACCCCTAGGATTTCGGAAACCTCGGTAGTTGCAACATTCTCGCCTTTCCATCTGCAAAAAAGGGCAAATTTGAGGCAAATCAAGAATTAGGTGAAGCATTTATCAAAATATGGAAGCATATAGCTTAAACTTTTACTCGCGTTGATGAGTTAGGTATGATAAGAATCGCCAAACATCTGTAGGAATTTCATAGAAGTACAGGAAAGTGCAATCAGCCTTTAACTTCTAGCCGAAGGACTACAATCAACTTATTGCAGTTAATGTAATATGACATTCAGATATGGAACTGTTTCAAACAAAATGATAAGAATTGTGATTGCAACTTGTTCCGATATTAGGAGAAACTTTTGTACGGACTAGTGACCAACATAATGTACAACGTGCACTGAACATAATGGACACTACAAACAGATGGTGGCATCTTGTGTTACTTCCAACTCTTCCGTTTCCGCAGGTAAGCATTCATGTGTAGTGCAAAAACGGAGATTTATCCATAAAGGTTGGTCGACTATTTTATCCTTAAAAGAATTAACCCCAACGTGACCCTTTTATGCAAGGTGTTGGCGTTTTGAATAAAAAAAGAAAGAAATGCTAACATTTCCTTGGAAACTGCCCCACCCCTTCCTGCTAGAGCTCTTACCTAAAGGTGTCGCCGAGTCTGTCCTTGAAATACAAATAACCCTCCTTGTCAGCCATCATCAGATCGCCGCTGTTGAAGAACACGTCTCCCACTTTCTTGACATTCCGGACCAGTTTCTTCTCGTTCGTTTTCTTGTCGGCCATGTAGCCGTCAAAATGGTACATGTCATTCACCTTGGTCACGAGGAGACCCGTCTCACCTGGTGGAGACAAACACTGAGACGGTGACAAGCGTTTCTTTCTTCCTCTCCGGCTGAAAGTGAGCTCAACTTACGGGACTGTTTTTTAAATTCGGTTTTAAATTATCGTCGGTTTTAGCCTCATCCCTTCCCAGTCTCTGGATCCATTTATAAGTTCAGTATCACAATCAAATCCAGAGCCCCATATTTTTGTCTTCATATTGCAAGCAATCGACAATCCCCGGTAGTATTAAGTCACCTTAAAAACCATTCAGAAGAACACTAAACTGTGATTGTCATTGGTCACAAGTTCTCAACATGTCTTAGTCGCCTCAGAAATGCAGTTATTTCTGCTTCCCCTGGGCAAACAAAGTGTCCTACCGACTGACCTGGTTCAGCCGGGATACACTTCCCGTTGGCATCACGGATAGGCTCAGCCGTCTCGATGTCGCACTTCACGATCTCAGCGACGTCAACTACCGCCTGAAAATGCACCCAGAGGATTAACTAGACAACAGCAAAAATCATGATACTTTGCTAGGGAGGTTCCTTCGTGGAGTCTTACCGCTTGACATTTTCCAAGGTCAAGGTCAAGACAAAATGGCAAGTAGAATAAATAGATTAAGGGCAAATACTCTGTGGAATAACAACTAATCGTTTAAATTGAACGTGATGCAATTCACGTTATGCAGGTACATCAAAAGTTATACATTCAGTGAAAAGCCTTGACAAAAGATGGAAATAAGAACCTTTACGAAATTGCCTAATCGGCCCACACTGCCGACTTTATCCTCTGTGTTGACAATCATGAAGGGACTTTCTGTTGCTCCATATAGCTCATAAATCTGACCGATGTTGAAACGTTTCTGAAAGTCCTCCCAAATGTCTGGTCGTAATCCAAGGCCAATGGCTCTTTTAATCTTTAGTTCACCATCATCAGGACGCTGAATATTAAACAAAAAATGCAGTATTAGGATATGCAGTAGGAAACTTTCATCCCAGTAAAATAAACCCCTCACAAAAGTAGAATCTCCCGAAAGTAGTATCACAGTGTCGAGGACGGCCACTTTCTGTTTCATACTTTACTTCCGGTAGCACTTATCAAATGAGACAAACAAGAGTGTGATTTCCAAAATTCTGCCTGTATCTTACTTCTTGTTAAAGGATTAAGGAAAACATCGAGCCAACCGTTATGGATTCACTATAAAACTCCAAATACGAAAGGAAATGACAACCAATTGTTTCACGTTATACGCAGGTTCACCTGCGAATTCTTTTTAATTAACTACCTTGAGCAGAAGTACCCCCCTTATCGGTTGAAAAAAAAAAGTCATGTTGGCGAAGAGTGCAACTACATTTTGCTGGTAACGAGGCGACAATAACGTGTACATTCCCATAGTCGCTTGTGAACCAGCGAAGTGCTCTTCCTACCAAAGGAGCCTTCGTTGTCAGGAAAATTGCACCCTCGCTTGGTCCAGCTCAGGACTCTTCAACTCACCTTTGCTGAAAACACATTGCATACATTGCTGGACCAGTCATAATTAATTTTTCAAACTAGTGCAACTGTTGTCACTTTCCACGAAGTTCAGGTCTTAATTAGCCGATCTATCATTCCAAATATTTTTAAGTGCTAGTGACGACAAAGAGTCGCAAGTGAGTCGTAACATGACAGCTCTTGATATCTAAGGTCAAAGCATCTCAATGCCTATACTTTTTCCAGTCATCCCAGCATGTGCTGAGTCTCCATTATCCTTACCGGTGGTTGTGCTAGAAGATAGCGACAGATCTCCCCGATGTATAAAATGACATTGGCTTGGTACTTGCGAACCTCGTCCCAAAATATCTTGGGAGAGAACGTGCCAAGCGCAACAGTGCATCCTGTAGAAATGCCAGAAGGTACAACGCTCTCAAACTGCGTCCATGCTTGTAGCTAAAAGAATGTCTCGTGTCATGGCATGTTTCGCACAGGTTACAGGGCCAGAGCGCTAAAATCGACTCTCTTGCCCCGTGTGCTCCTGGCTCAGAATTTGGTGAAGACCAAAAATGGTGTGTGTTGCTGCAAACTACGACTGAATCTGTAAACTGACCCCCGGGGTTTCTCCTGCACATTCGGCCCTGTATATGACGCTTTAATGTGTCTAAGCGCTTCACACTGCAACTCAAAGCACAATGCGGAATGATCGAAACTATTCCTAGTCCTATCATGAGCCAACACGATAACACTGAATTTTGTAAAATTTGATTGTACATGCCAATGTTCTATGTTCACACTGTAACAAAATGTTTCTTGATATTTAAAGTCACATAAAGAACATATCCAGAGGATACCGTTAATGGCTCACCTGTTATTATGCTGGTCATGAGGCCCATGCCGAACCCCATGCTGTGGTAGAGCGGCAGTGTAATATAAAAAATATCCGAACTCTCCATCTGGGTCTCCGCTGACAAGACAAAACTACCACCACAAGACCGATAGTGGGACACCCTGGCTGCCTTCGGGAAACCTACACAAGGACAACATTAATCGAATCGTCAGTTACTGGTCTTAAAAGCTTATAAACTTGAAGATCAAAATCCCCGTTTGACGGTATATTCTCAGCTCATTGACTACTTGATGGGGAAATTGCTGTTCAGCAATTTGTGGGATGATAAAGATGTTGAAGTGGGAGTCGAACCCACGACGTCCTGTTTGCTAGTGCAGACGTCCCAACACCCCGACACCATTGCTGCCGCTGCAGTCACTTAGCTAGGTGAATCCCACACAGCCAACCGCTATAAGACACATGCCAATTTAATTTTTTTGTGTGACAAGGTATTCATGAACTCAAATAGTGCCAGCAGACAAGGTTGTTACCCTTAAAACAGCCAATTTGTGAAGTCTGACAAATGTTACCCAAATCTAGCTTTTATCTCTCTATTACCGGTGAGGTATAGGATACTTTTGCATGCAATCCCTAGTTAGTGTCTCATTCAGAAGAAACTTTAAGAAATGCTATATCACCAATGGTCACAGTTACTGAGCACAATATTTGTAGGTGAGTCCGTTTCTATTCAGGTGGTCAATTCAAATATGCCTGACAGTCATCCGTATTCTACCTGTTGTTCCAGAGGTGAAAATATACACAGACGGGTCATTGGCCCCGATTCCGTCTCGAGCACTCTTGGGGATTGGATCGCTTCGCTCGTTCCACGTGTTGACCTGTGTCGTTCCAGACGGCAGGGGGCGCTCGGTGACCTTGCCCAAGACCCACACCTGGATTCCAAGGTTCTGAATTTCCAGCATGATGGTCTCCAGTTTTTCCAAGAGTTGAGTGTCTGTAAAAAATGATAAATAAATACGATCTTTTATAGATACTTATTTCTTGCAATTGAAAAATAATCCTTGTTGCTTAAACAGAAAGGTTGATTGGGTCATTTGGTCATGTGATATCTGCTTGGAAACCAGGATAAACCACTTGTATGCTGGCAACAAATGAAACTAGAATGTGAATTTTTGACACAGGGGCTAGAAACTACATATCGTACAGGGGACAAAGTAGGGTGGGTTACTCTATTATCGCAGTAGTTATCACATTTCCCTATCGGCATACAGTTACTCGCTCACTTTCCCAAATTATCCTGCCATTGCTGTTGTTAAACTCTTACTTTTCATCTTGATTTAGAAGATTTGTTTGTGGTTCAATTTACATTCCTCTACAATTGCTCAGAAAATTGTGAGCGCACCGTATGCAAGCAGAGGTGAGGTCTCTGATTTTAAGACAAAATGGACAAATTTGAGACAACAACGCCGATTTCGCTACTAAAGGCTTTGAAGGGTAAAAGAAAGATTGGTACAAGTCTATTAATGAGATTGGGGGCGCGCTTTACGAACGCAAGCGGTTTTTCATTGAAGAATTTCACCCTGAGAAGTCCTTTACCCCGAAAAAGGGCACTTTTGAGGTTAAAATCAGGTGTCTATAGACATCTTTGACCACTGTGTCTGTGACATTATTGTGCGAACTGAGCAGTTACACTACATTGTGCCTCAGCATGATTCCCGTCTGCAGTGGTGCATCAAATCGTTTATGAACGGGAACCAGTTTACATGTCCCGTTGACTGCTGCAAAGAATGCATCAAATAACTTAGGAGAATTTACAAATAAAATGTATATACGTGGACATGTATTCTCCCTTAATTTTTAAACAAATTATTTGCAGATATTACAATTGTCTAAAATTCATTGAAATGTGATTTAAAAAAAAAAATTATTTCCATGAAGTGAAATTTTGGAAGGACATATTCTTGTTTCCCCTTAACCCTAAGCTTGCATGCCAAGTTTGAAGCCTGACATAGCTGAGTTCTTGCCAGTGGCCCCCCAGGTGTGAGATGGGCCAAAATAACCTGGCTTTTGAGGGTTAAACTCTGTACCGTGTCTTGCTTTTCCAGCTATTTGAACGCACTGCATTTTTTCATAAGTTTGTAGTCGGAACTACTCAACGATGTGCAGCAGTAAAACGCACGGTACGGTATACTACAAATATCCACCTCGCACCCACGATTCTCAGTCTCGCATTGACACATGCACATATTACTGTGGACTCCGAGTCGAGCAGCCCAGGATAAGAAGATAGCGCCAATCGCAATGAAGATCTACTCTTCAAAAAAGTGTCTGCAGTCTTTCAAATTGTGCCGATCACAGTGGATACACCAATAAGTTTTCGAACGTTAGCATGTCAAATTTACCCAAGTCCGTTTCACCAGGTCAAGTATCATGTCATTTTCTTTCCAGGTCAAGTTGCAATTAGAAAAGCGACTCGAGTTCAGCCGGCGACTCGAGTCAACAACACAAGTGGGCAGAGTTCCAAAGTTCAGTAAGCAACAATTTGTTAACCACTGCTCGTGGTCAATTTTGCCTGGTGCATTTAGTGCAAAGTTCACCGGTTCAAATCGACAATTTGGAAATGTTGATCGTGCTTGCCGCACATTGCATACTGAATTGTAGCTATGCTGTGCTACACGCATACGTTTGGCCTGTATAGTATTCCATGATTTAGCGAGTAAATTATCACACGTACTCGGACCCGTTACGTAATTCGGGGTGGGGGGAGCACAGGGCACGGCCCCCAGCTTGAGGCCTGTGGCCCTCGCTCAGAAATTAGAGACGAACGAAATCTGCTGACGGTCACCGAACCCACGGTGAATATTGAGAGAGTAACGCCAACTTCACAGTTCGGAACCACGTGGCTGTACATAATGTGTACAGAACAACATGCAATTGTGTGCAAACTGCCCACGTGCACTGACGACACATAATGAACCATTTAGGTTCCAAAAATATTGAGGCACTCATGTCGCAACTCTCTCAAAAAACCGTAACCGAACCTGCACGAGTGTCCCTTGCACTGAGGAAATGAGTCCCCGTAAGTTTCCCTCCTCGGCCGATCCGGGATCGCGGAGTGCAAAAAGGAACCCCAGTTACGTCACTCACTGCTTATTTTTTCATTTACCTTTCCCACACATGATAGCTTTCACCTTGCATGCCTTGATGCATTGAAGTAAGGCCCGTCCTTTGAGGTTGTAGTTCAGGAAAGCCGTCCGAACACCCAATTTGCCAAAGGCCAACCAGCTGACGATAAAGCCAGGCTCATTATGCATTAGGATTGCTGCTGAGTCCTTACAACTGAGGGCTCCATGCCTCATCACAAATCGAGCTAGCTTGTTTGCTTCCCCGTCCATATCCCCGTACGTGTACGTGTCATCACCGTAAAGCAGAAACGGCCTGTTTGGTGTCTCCTTCGCATGTAGCTCAAAGAAGTCCACCATGTAGAAGCTGTTGTCCTGTGCATGCTGCAGGCGTTTCAGCACTTTGTAGCTCTGGTACAACTTGGCGACATCGTCAGCCAGGGTTGGCCCGTACTTCAAGCGAAGGTAAGCCAACCCTGCAGTGGGTAAACCGAGTGCTGTAGCCGCGGCCACACCAGCCGCACGCTGGTAGTTAGTTCGCGGACCAGGCATTTTGAGAAACTCAAGCCACAAGACCCTCTGATAACTCGAAACTGCCAAGTCTGGTCTCAGCAGTACAGGATGTAAGTGTTCACTGAGTTGTAATAGTCATGAACAGTTCTTCTGTCATCCAAATAGTGGACAAAGCACGTAGTGTATTGTTCAGCCGTTATAGCATGTGTACTCAGTAGGCGGGGAATAATAAACTTGCCCTAGTCTTTTGCTCTTCCCGACGTGCCGTACTTGTATTCGGGAAAAAATGACCATCCTACGGAAGCGTGAAAGCACATTACAGAAGTTATGGTGGTCCATATGTGCCAACGGCCTAGACATTCTCAAAGTGTCGCATTTTATCTTGGCCCCGAATGTTTTTCAATACCTGTGAAGGAAAAGACGATATAAGTCGTTTGCACCTGAAATAGCACTATTGGACTGAATATTCCCCAAGGAGCTCAGTTTCAGAAATGTTCAGATGCTGTTGGCCTTGTAAGCAAGAATAATGATAACATGCCAGTATCTTTGGATAACAGATGCTGCTGGATACATTGTAGTGGTTTAGCCTTAATTTACATCGTTCAGCTTTGACTAAGATTAATAGATGAGTTTTTATTAATCGTGTTTTTTGAATAGCTTTATAATTTTTTAAGTAATCAAAACTCCATGATATCCTTTTGGGGTTAATTGAAACTACACATTAAAAAATGTTAAACATTGTCCCGGCAGGACAGGGCACTGTTACAATGTTGTCAGTAAGGGAAGACACCATCCAGTTTATAGGTTTCCCAATAATTTGAACCCTAAATTTGCGCATTGAAAACATAACCTGAGAAGGGCTGCTAGTTTGCTTGTTGTGTACAATAGATAACATGACTTAGGGCTGTAAATTTGCCAAAAGTTTCATCAGTTGTTGCAATTGTATGCAGCATAGATGATTCTTCCTGGGGGTGACATCACAAATTTGCTCATGAATATGGAATTTGGCATTAGTATAAAGCAAACATGTTAAACTTAAATGTGATTCATTGAAACACGCACAGAGAATCACTTGCAAGGGACTAAGTTGCACAGGACTTGACTCATATAAAAGATGTCAGTCTTGGGAAATCCTCAGTGGCGTTCCATCTTTATCTGATTTTTTTATGGTTGGAGATGAATTGAATCAGAACATTTCTCTCCCTTTTTTCTTTAAAAACGTCAAAAGCCTCGCCTTTCCGATGACGATTCTTCGCAAAATACTTCTCCACAACCATAAAGAAGAGAGGGTCATTGGGGTCAAATCCCTCTCGGGCAAGGTCAGTCTTCTTGTGTTTGAATACTCCCGTGATGTCCATCTCTCCCATGATTCGAAGAACTTTGGACATGCGTAGAACGGCAGTGACCTGACCACGTGATCGTAGAAGGCCTTTGGCTAAAGATGGTGTTCTTTCGTCAACACAATACCATTTTGACCTGAAATGAAACCAAAAGAAAAACATCAAAGAAATTTCAACAAAACCATTATAAAAACATCCCACAAGCATGGTGACATTTGACACACACATTTTGCACACCGTTTTCTAGCGACGGAAGGAAAACTGAAGTCAATCATCACGCATCACTGGAAAAGCGTTGCAAACTTCCAAAGCAAGTCTCAGGAAACAAGCATCATTTGTCAACCAACTGGGAATTTGTTTTCATACGACTTGGGAACTTTTTAATGCGAATTGTGGGATCATAAAACTATGTGAGACTAATGAGATATATCACATCGAACATATTACTGTTTAAATGGCACCAGGACGCCGCCATACACGTTGGCTTCATGTATGCCTGGTATTGGCTCAGATCTACAAACATCAACAATTTTATGTACTCAGGTTGCATTGTTTCTGGTTGCCTCTTTCTGTTACTTCTATATGACTGTCATTTAGTCTTTTAATTTAATCTTTTAGTGATTGAGATGTCAAAAACATCCACTGCTATGAACTTTTTTATATTGAGGCTTACACTCCATCATTTATAGTTAGTGTCGAAAGGGAACGTTTCTTTCCAAATATTGCATTTCACTACCTGTTGTATTGTCCGGATGTAAAGATGAAGAGTGAATCGTCCAAGACCGATGGTCTCTCGCACTCCTTGACATGGGATCTCCCTGCTTTCCTTCTGCGTCTTCACAACAATGGGCATCATTCGCAACGGAAGAAGCAGGGTTGATCAGGTTGGTGAGAAATGTACAAAAAGTTACAGAATGATCTAAAGGGTCTTTTGTTGGAAGAGGAAAATAGGGTTGTACCTCTTCCGCATGCAATTAACTTAGCGTCGCAGGCTTTAATGCAGTAAGGAGTGTGTCGCTTCTGATGTTGTAGTTTAACGGTGCAGTTCTGAGCCCCCGGCTTATTGAAAGGCAGCCACGAGAATACGAAACTGGGCTCGTTCCACATGAATATCGCCACCGTGTCCAGCCATGCAAGCTACCAGCTTGCTTCGCTGGACAAAGTGGGCGAGTTGATTGGCCTTTCTGTCCAATTCTCCCACTTTACCGTTGGTGAGTACCTCATCTTTGTACAAGATAAACTCTTAAACCGGGGTTTGCTTCGCGTGTGTCTCAAAGTAGGCGATGACTTTGAGGTATACTCTTCAGCAAGGCTTTGCAAACTTCCTTCATTATGATTCAAACCCTTGCGAACTCCCAGTAGAGATCGTTGGACTGCACTTTTCAGGCGCAGGAACCCGGGAAACTGCGATGAAAAGTCCCGCTACAGACGCAGCGAGTACACGGCGGTCCATTGGAATACCCGGCATGATGGAAAGGTCCCCGCTTTGATCGCACCCGTGTATAGATCTGAAGAAGGTTGAAGGTCATTGCAACCCCATAGACACAACATACATGTATCGTACCCACTTACCTGTGCAGAGTCATTGTTTAAAAGTACGGGCCCATAATTGAATGGGCAACTCTGCCCCCGGCCCACGATTTGCCAAGATTTTAAGTACTGCAAAACCCGGCAAGTTCCCAGCGGGTTCCCTGGATTGTCATAAACCACCACCGTCAGAAGAGACATTCCCAAAGGTCCCTCATCTGTGATGCGCATCATATTATGCAAGAATGCGGTTAAACGAGCGTGATGAGCGGCCCTTTGAATATACACACCGGTAAAAACTTCAACGTTATTCCCTCAAGTCTCTAGGATTTCCACCGTTTTCTTCTGTCAACTTTATACTAACCTCTAAGTGGGGTTGTTAGTGTACAACATAACTTAAAAATTGGATTTCCTGCTGAGCGTACAAAGTCGAAAGAATCATCAACTTCTAGCCCTGTTTATTTTCAATTTCCTGCTCAAGCTTTGCGTCGCCATCAGATGGGGCAATATAAGAGACGGAGAGAACCCCCCCCCCGCTTTGTGTTGGTCTGTTTCCCTGGAATATCCGGAGTTCTTTTCAGGCATGGGAAATGTGTTAGGTGACAATAGTCTAGGGTGGGTATAGGGATTGGACCTGCAGGGGGGGTACCTTTCCGTCTCATTTCTGGCTGGGTACAGACGTCATGCCCACTTATGCGCCCACTTATATGTGCCTGGTGTGTAGCTCTAGACTGGGAAACAAGTCACGAAAGGTCTAATTTTTTTAAACACCAATGTGTAATACCATCAAATTACACTTCTAGTTGTACGACAGAGACTACAGAACCTAGAGAAGGGCGTCTTAAAGAGACAGTCAGCCTTGAGCAGAAGCATCCCCTCATTGGTTGAACAGAACCATGTTGGTCGTGAGTGTTGTTGGTAGCGACGACAGCGTAACGCGTGCATTTCAAAGTGAAACAGCGAAGTGCAGTTCCGACCAAAGGAGCCTCCGTTGCTATGAAAATTGCGCCCTCTCTTTGTCCAGCTCATTATGAATTCATATAGGATAGAGTTGTATGCATGAAAACAACAATTCATCCGTCTCGTTTAACTAAAATAACTTGCACTGCATAAGAACGATTTTCAAGGTGAGGTTAATAGGCGTATATATGTCCTGTTTCTAAGAAGCTCAAAGTATACCATGACGCCCTTCGAAATCAATGGAGCGTATAGTTCAGGTTTAGACAGTCAGTCTTAAACCACTTAAATATAAACCTGGTTTTGAAATTTTACGAACAGCTTAGGCCAAAAAAAAGTCTCTGGTTTCTGGTCCCCGCGCGCGTCGCCGTAGACCTACGCGTCGGCTAAATAAAGAATTTTATTATTTTGCATAAAACGATTTCCAAAAGCCGCCAAACTTACTTGATCAGCAGGAATTCTGCTACCGCGTAATTTTAACGTGTTTCAATGGGTGGAGTTGAGTTATAAGTACGGTGAAGAAAACCCCCCTAGGCCTCCATACATTTCAGTCGGGCACTCTTAACAGATGACGTCATTCGTGTACGGTATCTATACGAAGGCCGTGTCCGTATCAGTTGGCTGCGGCTTGATTTTATGCATGATTCTATGGGAACTGGCCTTGGATGCTGACAAAATACTCAGTGTAATTCGTACTGGTAGCCATTGATTTGGACCCGGGCCCACATCCGTGAACCAGACAAACGAAGTGGTCTTACGTCCTGCTTACGTATACAAATTGAAAACGCTTTTATGCAACATCCCGTGAGGGGCCAGTCTATTTCAGTGTCGGTGAGGCAGTGGCGGTACATACACATGGAGTGCATGCAGTGGCGATGAACATCCCATTATGACAATACATGTAACAACTCATACATCGTCACTTGCCAAAAACAAAGGTAGAATAGAGTGAGAGGAGATTTTATTTTCTGAGCTGAATTTTTTCCCCAATATTTTGTATGCAACTTCTTATAAATGTAAACAGTATCATTTACCTCATGAGAATTTTGTTTTCATTTTGACTCTGGAGCTGAACTGTTTTGATTGATATTTTCCTCTAAGCTAAAGCAGAAAACTATATATAAAGAATGTCACTTCATGAGAATTTCATTTAAAACCGGAAACTGGAGCTGAACATTTATTTTTTCACATTTAATTTTTCCATGGTTTTGCTACTGTATTTTAACAAGCTCACCACCATGCCAAGAATAGAAGCCTCTTGTTTGAGTGAGAGGAATGAAACCATTTCCTCTTGTCATATTTTATGGTCTTGTTATTAATTAAAAGTTGTTAATTCACACTTCTCATAGTAACAAGGCATGCGCTCCAAAGTATGTGTGCACGTACATCACTTCTAGGGGAAAAAAAGAGCCGCGTTATCACTGCACCACATTTGGACCAAGCCCGTGACTAGAAACCGGAGTCTTTTTTTTGGGGGGGGGGCTTACAATAAAGTCTACAAGTTGTCACTTTAGACTCTTTGTGCATACCCATTAACGAAATAGCGTAGTTGGATTTCTAATTGAAAACAAAAGAGCAATTATTTCTCACTTTTTTTAGCTGACCCAAATGGCGAGATACCAACAGATGACCTGCTGACAAAGCTGACGTTTTAAAATTAAGTCCAAACATTTCGAGACTTTTACATTGCACTCCGGCTTTTGCAGCGTACGAATACCATTGCCAAGAATCTATACGATAATATAAAAGGTCACGTTACATTTAATATGTTGAATAGTTCCACACACACGTTGCGAGGTTGTGGTCAGGGACATAAACATCAGGTGAGTTTCCGAAGGTGTTACATTTCCCGTCCAAACAGGATCCTTTGTGTCCACTCTTGCTTAAACTAAACACGAGCTACACAAACTTCCGCCTACAAATCCTGCGACATTTTCAGGGTGCACTGCAGCAAATCAGTAGTCATAAATCCCCATACTTCACAAATATTTCAAAAATACCCACAACTCGCACAGTTGTTTACGCTGCACAGAAAAGCGATGTTTGACATTTCCTCTTTCATTTCCTTTGAATTTTTCGTGGGTTGACCAATGAATGTTTGAGAAATTCTGACCCAAAGCAGACCACCCGTAAAATGAAGGAAATTTCACTACCCAGAAAAGTAGCCATTTTGAAAATGCATCCCTCTGCAAAACGGCTCAAATAGTGCCACTTTCCGGGACCCGAATTCATCCAAATTGCTCGGAATTGGAAGTCTAATAGTCTGGGCCAGAAGTTCAGCAGTGCCATATTTCTTCAATTTCCGAGTTCCATATGCTCTTAGGACCCTCTAATATATAATATTTTGAGTGTATAACTTTTATTATTGAGCTCGGAAGACATATTTCTGGCCTATATACGTGGGCGCACCCTTCAAGTCTCTGGGTCCTTCATTGTGTATCCATTTAATGAGTTAAGCGAGGTTGGATTTTTCTGTTGGTACTACCTGAGATTTCCTTGGCATTGGAGGTTTTCAGTAAGTAAAATTAATCGTCCAAATCACCATTTGACTCAAGCTGTTCCACAGTCCTGCCTACCACGGCAGCATCTTACCATGTAGTTCTTGCCACAACTTTATCTCAAGCCTGAAAGTGAAGATAACCGCTCTACCACAGGGCCTCGATGGCATGGATCCATGTTCTTGCATAATAAGTGACACTAGATTTTTCAATACACACCACTGTGCACCTTCGAAGTTGCGTGTCATGCTGTTGACGTTAACAAGCAGTTCCTCGTGCAAGTTTCTGGCATACAGCAACTCCGTACACTGTAAAAAACGTTGGTCAAAACAGTGTTGGGCATTTGTTATTTGCCCAACCTTGGTTAAGGCTACTACATTGTTGGTCAACGGTCACTGTTGGTCAAACATTGACCAAATGTTGGGAAGACTTTGTTGCCTAAAGGTTGCTAAGTTGATATTTTTACCAACATTGGGCAAACTATCAATACAAAATTGACCTACCTTTTTACAGTGTATTAACATGTCACCATGAAAACCCACCAAAAAACGGCAAATCAAAATGGATTTATAAATGACTGAAGGTTGAAAATAATTCTTTCCCTTATTTCAGCAAATATACAAAATGTGCCTGCCATTCGATGAGCGTTGGTTCATGGCTATTATTCGATTACATGTATCTGTCAATTAACGTGACCCAGTTTATACCAAAAGTGTGAAGAAGTGTCCTTGGAACGAATCTTTTGCTTTCGTTGCGCGTACTTTTTCCAGACCTCTTTATTGACGTCAACCACGCATGCGTATTATGTTTTGTTTGCCGGGCACTAGAGATCAATCATACATTCAATGTAGGCTTACACTTCACAGCATTTCAAGGCATCAGCAACCACAACTGAACTTTTCCGCGTTGAAACATTACACATGGTTCAATCCAGCTTTTACCTTGACCTCCCAGCATTCTACAGACGGGATATTCGAGAAATGCAAGTCAATGATAAAAGTCAGGCCTAGTCACTATGCATGCAAGAAGTTTTAAACACCAAATATTCGAAATACATGTACACGTAGTTGTGGCAAATGTCGTGTTTGTGCGTCTGTGATCACATCGAATGGTTGTTGGGTGAAATTTGCCCTGTAGAACTGGATCACGGGCTAATTAAGTGTTTACAAAATCGTGTGTGTTTATGTTAGTCTCGTGGAACCAACTTCCTTTTGTATATAAAATCACAGCGAGGAAGACAAGTCCAGGTTTGGCTATTTTTGCCAGCGTGTTAAACTGTACAGGGCACATTTTTCGCCCCTTTGAATGGTATTTGTCATGATTGCCGGCACAAGCTCAGTTAGTGTTTCAGCTTAATTCTAATTCACTTAAATTAAGCAACGATGAATGAGCACCATGAGAAACAGTCTGATACAGACACGGTAGCATGACGTTTGCGTGTTTGGAGTTTAGATGAGCATGAAGTTAAGCATCGCGGGCCCGCCTCGGGATCTCCTTCCACATCATTATTTGCAACTCTGGAATGGGTAATTATATGTATTGAAATGTGTCACACGGTGTGGAAATATAATAAGGAATGAATGAATGCCTGCAGACAGTAGCGATTAAATTCGGTCCAATTGAACAGGATAATGGTTTTTAATCAAAGGGGCTGGAAGGATACATGGAATGCAGACACCTAGTTGCAAAAAAAGACGCACTTTTATAAGAAACAAATTTTGTCCGCAATCTGAGCCTGTATTCTGGCCCTTTATGACCAGCATTAGCTTGTATTAGGGCGCAGCTTCAACAAGACTATATCATCTGCCGATGTTCTTCCGCTGCTGGGCGACACTCCTGATGATCGTCCATGGCCCAGAAACTTGAAGTTTCAAGGCTCTTAATTCCGAGAACATCCAAAAAGTCATGATGGCAAGTGTCCAGCAAGATGAATCCCTCAAGGAAAAGACAAAAATAAACCAGACAAGGTACTGTCCTGTGAAATATCTATACTGACGTATCACTGTTTCTTAAGACAGCTTTTCGCTTATAAACATTACTGATCCCACAGGAAAGTTTACCTGGTTTAGACCTGCCTCCGCCTGTCGCTCATGACGTATGTATGAGTGGAGTCGTTCAACGCAAGTGTTACTCTTCGCTAAGCACAAAAAGAAAACTTCTGAAATTAAAAATATACCCAGCGCGTGTTGACCTCTGGACATATTTTTCTTTCATTATAACTGCGTCGCAAAATCTGTGCCTATCTAGAGAATAACAGAACCGAAGTTAATCATTAAAGCGTTGTGTACAGTGAACGTGACTCCAGGGTCGAATGAATACTATCATTGCCCGATTCCTCGATAAGGTCAGTACTAGGACAGACTGGTATTCTAGATTCACTACACACAGGATATAGTACGTAATACTTCCAACTTTCGTTCCTCTTGCTTGTAACCGGTCTATATTATTCGATCCAAAACATGACGAGTCCTCTGAGCCGGCGAGTAGCTGGGGTATTAGCTGCAACTCTAGCGGGAATTCCCGTCGCAACCGCCGGGTTCCTGCGCCTCAAATACGGCCCGACGGTGTTCCAGGACCTAGTTGACATTCGAGGAAGCTCGGCCGTGCTGAGGGTGTTTAAGGACATTGAGGAGAAGAATGTTCAGCTTTGCGATTTCTTCGAAGAACACGCACGGAACACACCGGACAAAATTCTCGTCCTTTACAAAGATGAGGTACTCACCTACGGTGAACTGGACAGACAGGCTAACCAACTCGCCCACTTTGTCCAGCGAAGCCAGGTGGCAGCTCGTATGGACACAGTGGCGATATTCATGCTGAACGAGCCCAGTTTCGTCGTGTCCTGGTTGGCGTTTACCAAACTGGGGCTAAGAATCGCACTGTTGAACTACAACCTCAGAGGCGACGTCCTCCTACATTGCATCAAAGCCTGCAATGTTAAAGCAATCGCTTGCAGTAAAGGTAAACTCAATTTGACAAAATTAAGGTGTAAAATCAGTTTTGGTGTCAAGCACTTGCCCTGAAGCAACCAAAGGACAAAAGGTCTTTGAATGTGTTCATTGACTTGGTGACCACAATGTGGTTTGCTCTCACTTCAAGTTTGAAATGTTCTATTTCAGATCCTCTTTTGTTGGAAGCTCTTGGATCCATCAAGCATGAGCTGGACGCCCTTGGGACTGTAGTCTGGGTTCCGGGAGGTCCAGAGGTCCGAGATGAGACCCTGGCGCACGGGTTAATTCCAGCAGATACAAGAGACGAGTCCTGCGCTCCCATACCACCGACATCACGCCGACAAATTGCCAGCCGGAACACGGCGCTGTACATCTTCACGTCAGGAACAACAGGTGGGTGAATGTTGTGGGCGTCACACCCGGGGAGAGAGAAATATAATACATGTACACGCCGATTTTTGGCCGGTGTGGTAAACTATGTAACCAGCTCTGCAAAAAAGGGCATTAAGGGGCCCTGTGCTTTTTACACTGAGGGCTCTTCCATGTGGAGAAGTGATTTTTTTTTACTATTCTATCGCTGCTTTTATAATTCATACAAGAAACCTATAATTGCTGCTGTGGATATTCAAGAGACTTCCTTCTTGGCTGCCGGATTTTGTTTTCCACTTTCTGTGTTTAAAGGCTTTATCTCTTAAAGTACTTTTGTTGATGATGATATGATTCTTCAAAAATCAGCTTATCTTCAGGGTGCAAAAGGCCACAGGGTTCAAACCTACACCTAATTAAAGCCTATAAGGTATCCAAAGAATTCAAATGTGTATGTAACTCATTTTGAAAAAAAGTCACATGATACCCATTTTTGTGGAGCCGTCACAAATGAGCTCTTTAATTTTCCACTTTTCGGTTTTGAGAAGAGAAAATACGTCTTACAAATGTTTAACTATAAAAATAGCTATTCTGGGAAGCATTGGTACACAGTGCAGCAACTGTTTCATTTTGATGTAAGGTTTAAATGCGCATTTACTCTGAAATACTACCGGCATAGCGCAATTTGGGGCCCCCCCTTCCCCACCAGTTCTAGAGTTTGCTTGTCATCCCCAATCCCTATGTTCCCATTCACGTGGTGTATGCCAACGTAAGATCCCTGAAAATGGCCGCATAACGTCACTGTTTATGTTGAATGAGTATCTGGAAATCGGCGCACGCATGTGAAAGGATTAGTACAATCAATCTGCGTACTTCCAGTTTTTGAAATAGATATTATTCGAGATGCGTCCGATCATGGTCACCGTACAGAATAGGAACCCTAAAACATTGGATACAACGAAATAACACTTTGAAATGGAGCTCTGTAGAATAGTAACTAGTCGCCTTGGATGTGTACTTTTATCTTTCAGGTGTCCCTAAACCCGCCAAGGTTACTCATTACCGCATAATGATAAGCTCTTACGCGAGTCGGCCATCCGTGGCCTTTGGACCCGATGACGTCATCTATTGCACTCTCCCTCTCTACCATACTGCCGCTTTTGTTATTTCCTTCGCTGGCATGGTGAGAGTAGGTAAGTCAAGAGTTCAGCTCTGATCTGAAATCAGTGACCCATGTTCAACATCCTTAAGGAATTGAGACTCCTTCTCTAGTTCTTGTACTCCATCTATTCTGTCTTTTCCAACATTTCATGCAATTGGTGTGACTGTTATCATTCGAATTGGTGTTATCATTC